ATAAAAATTAATAACTTTAACACTTCTTATAATAATTATAATCACATTCTTTCCCCCAATAATTTTGTGAAAAAAATTTTAATTTTTATTACTCTAGTTATTTGAAATAATAGATTATACTTTCTGAGTTTTTAACTTTTTGTAAAAGCAGGATAATGACCTAAAAAAAACACGAAAAGCAGTGCATAAAAAAAGTCAGAGTACGCAGGTAGAAAGTGTGTCATTAGATACCCAAAAAGAAGGTTTAGATAGATCACAAAGATTTTTACAACTGCTCAACAAATATGCATGCATAATCTCATTACATGTATTAGATAGTCCAAGTAAGAACCAATGAAAACACAATTAGCAAAATCTTTAGGGTCAAATCTCTGTTTTCTGTCAAGAGTTTTTCCCTTCTGTTCACCATAAGGCATAAATAGATATATGAACATGTTTTTGATATTCTGACAATTGTGTATATGTTCAAAACAGTAATGGTTGATCTTTAGTTCTTGTAAGATTTTGCGAACTATCATCAGGATGGGAAGACGAGATCCAATTCCCCAGTATGATGCTTCCATCTTTCCCCTTTGATGCATGCTGCAGTAGCAGTTACGTCATTCCAGAAAAAGCACAGAACCAATCTTGCATAAGGAAAAAAAATACATTTACCAATCATAACATATATCAATAGAGGCATTGATCGATAACTATAAATAACATCATGTATACAATTGCATGAATTCAGTCAATAAATATAATCTACCAAAATGCAAGGCTAAAATAACCACAACGAAAAGTAAAAATGCAAAAATCTTGCATACCTAAGAATGATGGAAGGGCAATAAACATCAACTTTTGTCATAAATCAGCATTATCATTTGCAACATCATAATGAACAACTGGGGCAAATGGTGGCCAATCTGCAAGACAAAAAATCACAAGGCAAGTTCTAGATTATCATGGCATGAATGAAAGGCTAATTGCCCATAAAAGGAAATAGAAATAGGCTACTAAGTGGATATTATGAGTAATCAACAAACTATAGCATAAACTGCAAGTTACCTCTTGCTAAATCCTCTTCTTTCCTGCTTCACTTTCTATGTTGTATATCCCAAAAGAAACAGATGAGTGAAACTTGTAAAAGTCTGCATGTTTCACAAGTTCAATCTCCTTGATATACCTCCTGTTGCTGGTTAAGTTCAACTGCCATGGCCAATGTCCCTTCTTTTCCTCTTCAATTCCTAAGATAATTTGAACAGTGTAAATCAAACAACCATAATCATTGCTTACTTTCATAAAACAAGCAGGAAGTGGCATGCAGGGAGTTGGAATTAAATAAATACACTAACCTTAAAACTGGGTCTAGTAACTATAGCAAGAGAGATATCATGATTTGCATCACAACCATTGTTGAGAGCAACTGGTTCTGGAGGAAGAGGTGAAAGCCCTGAACGGTTCTACAAATTCACAATCATTGATCAGTAATCAAAATCATATAAATTTGAAAAGAATAAAGGATTAACATAGAAAGGATTAACTTCTTCTACTTCATCAAAAGGGTTTATAACAGCTTGATAACTCCCTATAATATCATCATCTTCATAATTTGGGGATTTGGGATGTTTCTTAATAGAAAATAGCAAGTGAAACATACCACAGATGTGTGTTGAGGACATAGAGGACTGATGTTGGATTCTAACCAATTTGCCCAAGTTTCTAATTCTACAAGTGGTTGTCACATTATATTCTTGAACAATCCTTGGAGTTCCATAATTGAAAAAGAAAAAGAAAAGAAAAAAACCTAAAACTCAGGAAGAAAGTTAGAACTTAAATTAACCTGTTGGATTTCAAAATAAAAAACTTGCTCTAGGAGCACAAAAACCAAAGAATTTGGATGGAATAGAAGGCCTTAGATCAAAAACCAGAAACTTACATAACATTGATATGGAGCTTGTTCTATATGCTTGTACATCCACCACGCATAGCTCCAAGCACCAACACATCAACTCTTTCCTAGATCCTGCTGTGTTTGGCTATGGCAGCAAGGTTCACAAAAAGTAGAAGAAATTGGATGGAATAGAAAGCATTAGATTGAAAACTGGAAACTTACATAGCATTGATTTGAGGCTTGTTACACTTGTGCATCCATTAGATATAGCTCTCAAACGTTAAAACATCAACTCCTTCCTAGCTCTTACCATGTTTGGTTATAGCAGCAAGGTTCACCAGTCATCTCAAGACAGTATGATATGTTTCAAGGTATGAATCAGACTCCACCATGAAGGGAGCCTAGTTGGATTCAATTGACTCATTGTACTCTTGAAACACATTTGGATTTGGGTATGGATTTGGGGAGGGGGTTTAGAAGTTTAGATTGGGGCTAATCCACCATATGAAGTAAAAGAAATAACTAATAACTGGAGAGATGAAAATTGTTAATGATGAGATTGAGACCATATGCCATTTTTAAGGAAAATCTAACCTGTGAGTTTAAGTCCTCTAAGAAGCCTTATATGGTAACTTGGAAGACTGCTCATCAACCGAGAAGACAAGGTACAGACTATTTCCAACCCATTGCCATGTTTTCCAAACAAGCTCCATGAGTAACCTAAACAAATAATAAATCATTAATATGTGTCTCCACGCATGTGACTTGTGAATGTGAACTTTCACTAGATTCTTAGAGAGGAAAGGTATTCACCTCTTTGCAACATTTCATGACACCAAAAAGAAACAACTCAGCCACTTGCAGGAAGCCAGAAAATTATGCTAATTTTTATGAGAAACATCCCCTTGTACAAACTTTAAGCTTAATAACCTGAAGTAAACAAGAACCATCATCAACCAAGATATGTACTGTTACCAAAAAAATAAAATCAAAATATCTGACAGTAGCATATAATTTTTCCAACCCACTGCCATGTTTTTCAAATAAACTCTTCATGTAACCTAAACAAATTGCAATCATGAGTATGTTTCTCCATGCTTGTGACTTGTGAATGTGAACTTTAACTGCATTCTTGGAAAGGAAAAATTCACCTCTTTGCACAATTCATGATCATGACACCAAAAAGTTTTGTAGGAAACCTGAAAATCATGCCAATTTTTATCAGAAACTCTTGTACAAAACTTTTAGATTATGAACAGAAGAAAGCAAACCCAGAAACCTAAAAACTTCCTCTCCTTGAGGCCTTACCAGAGCTAGCATACCTGGCAATTAAAGGGGGCTCATTTTCAGTCAAGCTTACCCCAAAACCAAATTATAAAAAGAACAAAATATAAAACAGAAAAAATTCAATAAAACCCTTATGAATACATAGAAATTAAGAAGCATAAGAAAATGAAGAGAGTGGAATGGAATAATCAAGTCAAAATACCTAGTGTTTGGATGTTTGACACTTTCTTTGAGGTCTGATTCTTCACCTTAGCAGGTAATTTTCCAGCCAATCTTTTCGTTATTGAGTAAGGGCTTTTATCGGAACATGTTGTCAGTGGCTTGTGATTTATTTGGAAAGTTGATGATTTCTCTGGAACTACAAAAATTGTTTCTTTCAGCAACTAAAATAACACAAGATTGCAAATGATAGAAAAATTATAAATAAAAAAGACTGTCCAGATAAGTTAAATAAAAAATATATCAAAAAAATCAAATAAAAAAGGAAATACAGATATTAAACAATCTTATCAGTCGTAATTTTATCTTGTTAAATGAAAAAAGTGGAATATGAATCCAAACACAAAAACTAAATAGAGTTACAATAAGTCAAAATAGAGATAGTGAAATCTAAACACTCACTGGTTGGAGCTTGTGAGGGAGCAGAGGCTGGGGATATCTTTGTCTTCTAGAACATACTGTTGTTCCTCGTAAAAAATAAATTGAAAAGAAAATAGACAAAAGAATAGCAAAAAACCGTTAATTAAAGATGAAGATGAAAAGTAGAAAGATGTCACCGAAAGTATTAGGAGCTTGAGCTGAGGCGTGGATCAATCACTCTCTTTAAGACGTTTCGTGCCACTGGTGCAACAGATTTTTATGGTCACGCCGCCCCCAGGATACAACAGCCCAACCTCCTTGTTGTATCTTTACAAGTACTGCACTCTTGTAAAGAAAGCTCTACC